TTCGTAATAATAATAATAATCATAATAATAATAGATATCTGGGAAGCATCTTTGATAAACAAGGTGTATCTGGTACAGAAGCAAAGTCACGGCTTTACAAAGGAAGGGTAACATTTCTACCACTGAATAACATTTGGAACTCAAAACAACAGTTTTAACGAACCCCGAATTCAAATTTTCAATATAAACATCCAAACCGTTCTATTATATGGAGCGGAGACTAGGAACATCACGAAAGCCATCATCCAAAAGACGTAAGAGTTCATCGAAATTTGACTACGCAAAATTATCTGGATCTGTTGGCCAGAGACCATCACCCACAACTTACCGTGTGAGGGAAGAAACAGGATTCCAGAGGAGGAATAAATCAGAAGTAAGCGCTGAAATTAGATAGGACACACACTGAAGAAAGCAGCCAACTGGTTCACAAGACAAGTTCCACTTGGAATCCTCAAGGCCAAAGTAAAAGAGGAGTACGAAGTTACAAATTACTTCTAGAAATGTAGACAGACGTGAGAATAATTAACAAAAATTGAAAAGACACGCAGAGGAGGCTTAGGACAGAGTAGGTTGGAGAATGCTTGTCGGCAGCCCTATGCTCCAACGGGGATAGCAGGCTTAGGGAAGTGTGTTAGTAAGAACTTATCTAAACACCGAAAATCTGTTTTCGAAAGACCGGTTAGAAATACAGTTGAACTGTAAGGAATGGGCAGTATGCTGGGATTTACAAATCGTAAGAGTAAGAACCAAGTAATGGCAAAATCCTAAGACCTTTTCCAATAATAGGTCGACAGAAAAACGTTCTCTAGTGGTAAAAAGACATGAGTAGAGCAAGAAAGATCAGATGAAAAAACTAATTCAGGACAAATGTTCCCCGACACTATTTTTAACCGAAATTCCAAACTATCGGATTTGTTCAAATAATATCCACATATCAGGCAAACATACCCGTTCGACTCCTGGTGGGATTAAGCTGGGAAATATTAATTGCAGACTATCGTCCAACGGGCAACAGTGATTATTTCTGTAGATCATGCAGAAATTATTGAAAAAATTGGAAAAGATAACAGCTCCTCGTGGCAAAATTTCCTGATTTAGTATAGACATCGAACATCATGCTTTAAGTGTTACATATAGTTCTCCTTCAGAGAGGTAAGAACATAATCAGCCGGTTATTTATTGGTTAACGATAACGCAAGCAATCTTATTTATTAGTCATGGACTCAGTTTAAATTCACGAGTAGAAGTAAGCTTCAGAAATGTTCATCGAAAATATTTCTTGCCCATTTCTGAGCCAAACAGTATATTATAATGAGCAACAGCATAGTCTAAATTACTTCTTGTACATTTATTTGCCAGCAAACTGATACGGACTAGGAAGAATTTATTCTCCTGTATAAACTTTATTTCTCCGTCATCAAATCAGTTCGCTATTTTTCATACTGGATTCATCATTCGCCATAATTCTGGTAATAAACTACATGAAAAGGATTCCTTAAAGATAATAACGAACTGATAGAACAAAACATCAGCAGATTTCTTGAAAACTGGGTGTAATATTTTGTTATGTTTAGGTACTGACTTAGGTTAACTGTAGTTACGTGACTGTACGTATTTTCAAATATCAGACTGGATAAAAATCGAATAAACTACTCAAAGTCGTGGGTATTTTAAGCATGATATTAGAAGGTTGATGTATGAAAGAATTATTCAGGCAATTATAACTTGGCTTTCCATTGTCTGTAATGAGTCACCCACCTGTCAGCTCTTCGAATGACTTGATAAGTACTGCCCTAATAGCCACATCAGAATCCACTACAATCAACATCCAGGAGAATAGCATCTAAAAATTTCAGATACAGCGTTAACGTTTTCGACCCTAACGTAGGGAATTTGACTTCTTGGCGGCTTGAGGATAAAGTGAGAATATTTCTTGGGTCAGGTTTGTTTTTTTTCTGAAGAATGGAAATCAGGGCAGCACCAGCTTTCAATAAACAGTCTAAACTGAAATTTCTATCTGTGACAAAATAAACGATCGTTTAAGTATTCTTCCTTAGTCGTAGCTATCTACGGGAGGGTTATTCGTTTCAGATAATCTGTTTGGGCTGGGAACATATTTGAGTTGCTATTGTCAAATTTTAGGAGCGTTAATTTCGCAGTCATAACAGCGTCGATTCCTACAGACAAAAAACCAAACTTGTTGTCCTGGCTTCTACTCTTTATCAGGTGTGAAATTACATGGCATATGATGAAAACATCAACGAAGTGTAAATGGGGAGCAATAATTCTAACATTAACAATAAGAATAAATGTATACATTTTTTTATCACAATGTCTAGCCATAAGTGTTAAAAGAACAGATTACCAACGTTGGGACTTACTGTCTACAAGCACCTTATGTATACCAGACCCGGCAACTTGTTTTAGAAAGGTGTTAGTTCAGTGGAGCGCGTGGTTATAATTAATAGAAACAGACCTTTCGCCATCGAAATATGGTTATATAAAATACAAAACGAAGTATATACCCACTTTAGATATCATGTTTTAATGCTAGCTGAAGTATTCAGCTAGCTCCTGACTGTCTCACTGATGATGTTCGAAGTATTTATGTGATAACAACGAGGTTTTTTAATCAGTCATTTACAAGCAAATCACAGCTCTTAGAACAAAACTTGTTTTTCAGATCTAGGAAGTTTTCATACCATCAATTACTGTATTTATTTTTTACTGTTTGATGTAAGGGTGTTCTCTCCAAGTTGTCATCTACTTTAATTAAAACACCAATAATACTATAATCAGAACTAATCAGCGCAACACATATACCAGTCACATACTCGCATATCACTGAAGGAAATATTCATAGGAACGAATAGAAAAATCTACTACATTAGGGCGACCTAGTTTCAAAAGTTCCAGTCATAATAGTAAATCACTCATTGCAGTTACAGTTAGTTTGGTGAGTTCACTAACAGTAAGAGTTAACTGTATTACTGTTCTGGGGATTGTGCTATTTGATTTTTTAGGGTAAAACTCGGCAGAGTAAGGGTTACTCTCTAAGTGAGGGGTTTTTAGATAGTCGATTCCAGAAGTTATCTTCGTTTCATTCTTATTGATAGCACGGCTCCAGGGACATAATAGTTTCTTTCAAATCCAATTTCAAGAGGTCAGAGAAATAAAAAGCGGTATATAGGAATGTATGCACTGAATCGTGAGGCAGACTGGATAAAGTCATCCGTGGACTGTGGTTGTAGGGATCAGATTCGATTTAATGTGTTATGATTACAGTCTGGCACTTTCAGGACTTGCGTTCCACATTCACTGGACAAGATGAAGCATATATAAATCCCAATGGAAGTCTACTTATTGTGCAGTAAAGGAGTTTAACCTTAGTGATCGAAGTGTTGGTTTTTATTGTACTGTGGGACGGAAGAGCGTTGATCCACTTTAACACGTATGCACTTATTAGTACCTATGATTCGAACCCAGGACAGTATCTTATCTATACTTCGGGGATTATAGAATCGTTTCTGAATGGTAGACCTATAGTGATATGAACACGTTGTGTTAAGACGTTATGCGGAAATCACATAAGTTTCTAAGGTGACTCGACCTATCGTGACAGTCAGCATCAAGGGGTTACTCAAAGAGACCGAAAAGTTCTCTTTCGATCAATTGCTCCTACGTTTACCATGGCTGACTTACTGTCAGTGTTAACGTTGGATTTCAGTCTTCTGAATTATTGTGTTCAACTTTAAGCAAAAAGTGGTTGAGGAAAAGTAAGCTTTTCGGCCGTCGGTAAAACCGTCTTGCTGACCTGGAAGCTTGTTCGTGGAGGGCAATTAATCTAAATAAAGTGATACAAGAAAGTATAGTAAGAGAGCAGCTTCTTGTCTAACCGTCGAAGGGCAGTCAAACTATCGCTCTATAAAGCCGATGGTCACTGTTTCGGCTGTAACGTCCTTGATAGCCATCAATACCTCTTATCGTGCCAACTAATCCACACTCCTTAAGAGGTAAGTGTTTTCATTTAAGTTAGATGAGTCAACTAAATGCAGATAATCGCGGTCAGAGTGAACGTAAAGAGTTGCAAAATGCTTATATAAAATTGGTTATATCTAATCTCCCACTATTTCTGACATCCTACAATAGCATATGCCCTGGCACACAGAACTATTTATACCAAGTCACGAAGACCGTCCTATCAAGAGTCTTATGACTTCTCAAATACATAGCCACATAGAATGTACAACGCATTTAGGATATTGCAACGGTAATTTTTCATTGGACAATTTGTGCAACACTTTGTGAACTGAATCGCGAATTTTCGTAGTGATCGGCAATTGAAACTATCGTGGTTAAAGAATCGAGTCACTGTATTCAGAATTAACGGATCCTTGTAAAAGGAGGTTTTTCAGACTGTACCATTTGTCCACTTTTCAGCAGTATGTTGTTTGGGTAAACCAACTTTTCATTAGCAGCTATACTCCATTTCCGTAGGGTTTATTGATCACAACAGTAGTTAAATACCCACCGCATTTCCCTTCTTCACGATACGCAAGTAGTAAAATTTATCAAACTAGCTACCAGAACAGATAAGGAAATGCTTTCTTACAACAAAAAACAAGAGTAAACGCACCAATCTTCACTACCAATTAAAAAACTAAATTATCCATGATTTACCTGGTCCTGAAATCTTAGACTTATTAGCATTAGAATTTTCTCCTTATTATTCTCCATACTACAACTAACTGATCTTAGGTCTGGTAATGTGATGGCCCTATTTCCCTGAAACAAACGCGTTCATTCAAATCACAGGACGTGCAAACTCACAAAGCACTGCAAACTGACTAAAATTAGACAGTCGAGTGGATAGACCTCATTATGCACTACCGAGAACCTGTAACCGTATCGAAAGAACAAGAATTGAGCGCAAAGAAATCAACTGGCTTGCATTAACTCATTAAAAAGTTATTGGATATATTGCATAGTGAAGTGCTGCGAGGCGCTTACTTTAAAGACCACGTGTCGCAGCACCATAAGGTTCGGCATGCCTTGTTCTTTGCACTTCTAGCTTCGATTTCAGTTTGCCTTGATCTCGTCCTTGTGTTGTTTTTGATCGGTGTCGATACTTTTTCTACAAAAGGTAAGTTCGTTTTATGTGCTTACTAAGTCATCGGTTCACCTTTTTCTATTCTTGCCTCTACCAGATAACACCCTCTACACACAAGTTACCTCCTGGCTAAAAAAACTAAAAACGGCTAAAATTACAACTTACTACTATGTTGGGCTTGTCTCCAAACACTCCACTGACCTAAAGCACTTCATAAATGGATTCACCGTTCCGAAACAAACCGCTCAAAGTTGCCGGATCAAAAAGGTTGTTCAATAACTACCATATTTGTTTCACGAGATAGTATAAACCAGTTGATTTCTTTGAGCTCGCCTCTTATTCCGGCACGGTTCCAGGTTGTTGCAGTTACGAGTTATGCTTTATACTGTCCCAATGAAGTTCGTTGCCCTCGTCAGCGGTGGTAAGGATAGTATATATAACATCATGGAATGCATCGCACATGGCCACAGTTTGGTCGCCCTTGTTAATTTATGTCCTCCAAAGTGCAGTGACAACAAGTGAGTTATATCAATCAGTACTAAATTCTTCCTAGAACTTTAGAAATCGACAGTTACATGTACCAAAGTGTTGGGAGTGAAGCCGTAGAACACATTTCTAGTGCACTTCAAGTTCCTCTTTATCAGATGGAGCTACGCCGTGTGTCCCATTGTAAACGCATGGTGTATTGCGAGTGCCAGGATGACGAGGTTGAAGATCTTCACGAAATCTTGTGCAGAGTGTTGTCTGAAATCCCTGATGTGACTGCTGTATCAAGTGGAGCTATACTTTCAGACTATCAGAGATATCGTGTCGAGAATGTAGCAAATAGGCTGGGTTTGCGCTCGTTGTGCTTTTTATGGCAACGGTCTCAAGATGAACTTCTGGAAGATATTATTTCAGCTGGTATAGATGCCATAATTGTCAAGGTGGTTTTTTGTGTGCTCTTGCATCAATGTAGTAGCGTATACTGGGTGCAAATGTTGATAAATTGTGCATATGCACTAAGTTTTCGAATCTTGCTGCCTATGTTTAAGCAATTATCGAGCGAAATTCCGAGAAAGTTAATTACGTAAGACTTCTCCGGATAACGTACTCAACTACCACGTACTTAGTCATAAAACACGAACTAGTACGTAAGTTTGATTAAAGCTGATAGCAGTCAAACCAAGACTTGATATTAACTGATGAAGTCACTAGCAGCCTAAGTCTTGGTGGGTACAGACTACCTGAATTGGATCACCGTAGTAATTATGACCAGCTATGACATGGTAGACAGTCATTCACAGTTTTACGGATATACCTCATCATCATCGACGACAGCAACGTAGAACTTTGCACGTGAGTACAGCAGTTCAAGTTGTCATACCACATTGGCACAGTGATATAATTGTCAATTCAAATCCCATAGTAGTAGATATACCTATTCATCATTCTCCCTTAGATATCAAATCTAGGTAACATTCTATAATTTAAGTCCAGCACATCCATTGATTCTAGGTAAAACATCCGATATCTGGTCTTCCTTTTTTGGTTCTAATATTACTCCATCTTTCTGTGCAAACGTAGTGTTAGATTATGGAGCAGTGCACAGTTTTCCCGGGTCTTGGTCACTACTGACTTGTTACACAGATGGTTTCTGATCTGTTCTGGAGTATTTATCTAAATAATTTTTGCCTATAAAAGAGGATTTACTGACAATTAAAAGAGTGCATTTCGAAAGTCAAAATATACTTCTTAAGTAAACTACTTGAAATATAAATTATGGGTCTTAATATATTTCGGATCATAAGCGGTACGAATTCAGGTTCGTTTAAGCAGTGGTACTTTATTAGTTTTGCACAGTATTATTATTACAGTGTTACTTACCTATTTTGATCATTTGATCCTAAAATAAGGTGAGGTTGAATATATCATGTAATAATCATATACTGAAGCATTCTCCAGAAAACGTCACTTTGTTTTTGATTTATTACTCACAAGTACTGTGTTCACTTTTCGTTACCTTTATTCAGTAATATTATTCAAAGTATTTTTTGTGGCCTATTTTCTAGATTGCTGCTTTTGGACTTACAGTTGAAGGCTTTCTCGGGTTTTCTCTAAGGAGTATTGAATACAAGCTTCGCCAATTATCAGCTCAACCTTGGCTTCTAAATGTTTGTGGAGAGGGTGGGGAATTCGAGACAGTTACATTGGATTGCCCGATATTTCACAGTAGAATTCACTTAGGGTCAAAACCTGAGATTGTGATGCATTCTAAAGACCCGTTTTCACCCACTGCCTATCTCCGTTTAAGAAATCTTCTCTTAGAGGTAGTTCGCCTTTTATTTTGGTATATTATGTCGTTATCTTTTTCCTCATCTGACTTTTCAGGAGTTGGCATACCAGGAGTTTCACTTGTTGACTTAGAATACACATACGGCATAGTTCTGTTTGGTGAAGACGCTGATAAATCTCAGTCTTTTGACCACCTTAAATAACAATGCCAGCATGTTTGGGATGCAATCCCCTCCTTAAAAATGCTGCTTCAGGATTGGCTTGAATTGACGCCTATACTAGCGGTAGGAAGTGAAATAGTAGAGTGTACCGACCGCTCCACTTATATTGGGAGTCAAATTGGCATCGATTGATCTGCTGTGTAACCAAATCTTGACTCAGATACAGAAGGCTCGACTGGCTTTTGCCAACTTGCGTCCGTTGTGGCGTAGGTGAGATATCCGTCTGTTAACCAAAGAACGAGTCTGCTGAGCATCATTTCGTTCCACCCTACTTTATGGCTGTGAAACATGGCCAGTACGATCTGAGGGTATCCGTAGGCTATTAGTATTCGATAATAGATGTTTTCGAAGCATTGTCCGTATGTAAGTTATTTATCCTTAAGTCTGTCAGAGTTGTTAGAACTTTCCTATGTTACATTGCGCTATCGTGTACAAAATAAAATTGGTTAAAATGAACTATCTAACCTTTTTTTCATTGTAAAGGCAAAGTTTAAGTGGTTTTAGTTGTATAGTCAGTTTTTTCGCTAGACGCAAGTGAACTCCATACTTACATAAAAGGTGGTTGAACTAACTTTTCTAACTATGTTGCCACTTGGTTTAAAAGTGTTGCTAAACCAGATGTACTTTTGTAACTAGATACTGAACAATTCACTGGAAGATACGACATAACTTTTTTCTTCTAAGGTCTGTAAGTTCGCACATTAGAAACGTGAAGTGTCTTATTTTGTGAACCATTCTCGTTCACATTTTATTCATTTCTTTATTTTAGTTACACCCCCTCTCCTGAACTAAAATAAATAAATGGATAAAATGTGAACGAGAATGGTTCATAGAATAAGACACCTCAAGTTTCTATGTGAGAACTGCAGAGGGGTGTGACAGCAGTAAGGTGTTTCCCTCGGACAAACAGCATCTGCAGTGATGCCTTCTCACAATGAAGGAAGGGTTAGAAGAGGTTGACCATAAATATGTCACACCTCACCATACCTCACGGATTTCCGTCTCCAGCGGTAAGGGTGCACACTAAGGGCTTTCAAGAGCGGAGCTAACACTCAAAAAACCCTTCATAAAAATGCCGTGCATAACCGGCCTCAAGCAGTTGTCCCTTGGACTCTGCGGTCACGCAACCAGGTCGTTAAGACCAACGCTAATCTATCTTCCTTTTCAGGTTCCTCAAGAAACAACCTTCCATGGTGCGGGCAGCAGGGAAGTGACAACCACCCTCATACCCGTAACAGCATGCGAGACCAATTCGGTCACAATCAAATCCTTCCTACCCACCCCCTAATGCCTTTCTTATATCTCCACGACTAACTCTTCTCACACTGCACAACTAATGCAAACGATGCGAGTTCACGAAACATTATTCCTGGTCTCCTGAAACCACGTTCTAGACTACATGTTGGAGCTTTTAATGTACGGACATTATGTCGAAAAGGGCAACAGGCTTCCTTAGCTAGGACATTAGAATCTCGCACCATCAATGTAAACTGGATCCCTATAGATAGTCGCTTGTGCGCTGTTCGACTGAACGGAACAGTAAGGACTTGGAAAGATAGGGGAACCCGTCATTGCCTCTTCGTCGTATCTGCCTATGCCCCACTGACAGCACTTCAGACGACATAAAAGATGAGTTTTACAAAAAGCTTTCGGACCTCCTGCAAAACGTTAAGCGCTCTGATATAGTTATAATGGCTGGTGACTTCAATGCTCAAGTAGGTAGACTAAGTGAAAAGTAAAGACACCTAGGGGGATGTTATGGTGTCGTGGCTCAAAGAACAGAAAATGGCGACCGTCTGTTACAAATATGCTCAGATAACCGCCTATTCTTAGCAAACACTAACTTTAGGCATAAGGAGAAGCATCTGTTGACCTGACGACCTCCAAATTTGTCTCAAAGTTGGACTAGATCACCGGAGGAGGGGTTCGATAGAGGACTGTCACTCGTTCTGAATCACATTTCTAGATTCAGATCAAGCCTCAGTGCTAGCGCGTATTTGTTTGAGGCTTACTGGACGTAGGAAAGACACCGTAAGAAAGCCTCTTGGGGCTTTCCTTGATGATAATAAAGCTAACAAAATATTTCAGGAGGAACTAGAAAAACATTTAGGCGACCATGTTAGCGACTCTCATCCGGAGGCAGGTTGGAATGATATCAAGAAGGCTGCCAGCAAGGTGAACCATAAGGCTAGAATGAAGCCGTGGATTTCATTCGCACCCACTGAACTGATGGGTGCTCGAGAACGCATCCCACCTGACTCTGAACATGACGAAGAGCGAAGTCACCTTAGGCGCAGACTGATAAAAAGCCTACATAACAACCGCGAACAGTGGTGGGTGGCGAAAGCAAAAGCGATGGAAAAGGCAGCGGCGATAGGCAACACGAGACAACTTTTCCGCCTTATCAAAGAAACCGGTATTAGGAACCCGAAAGTGAGTGAGACTTTCTCGGAAGAGGATCGTCTTATTATCCATTCTCAATCCAGGAGATTGGACCGATGGGCAGAACACTTGAGGGACCATTTCAACTGGTCTTCAGCCACACTTCGGTTGCCCACGATCGCCAGTGTCTACATCAAGTGGTGCCCGTCAGGGATGTCCACTCTCTCCATTCTTGTTTAACTTTGTCGTAGACATCCTCCTAGAGTTAACATTAAGCTCGTCAGATTTTTCAGGGGTTGACCTTCTACCAGGAAAATCGCTTACTGATCTAGAATATGCCGATGACATAGTTCTATTCGGTGAAGACGCTGACCAAATGCAGAGTCTTCTGACTACCATAAGCAAAAATGCGAGCATGTTCGAAATGCGGTTTCCCCCCTCCCGAAATGCAAAATGTTGCAGCAGTTTTCTCCGTTCTCCTATATGGCTGTGAAACATGGCCGTTAGGAGTAGATGTTCGTAGGTTACTAGTATTGGGTGTTTAAGAACCATTGCTTGTATACCGTGGGACAACGGAGTAAGCAATGCTGTCGTTAGGGAACGGGTGCTAGGTAAGGATGGCAGATCAATTGATGAAGTGGTGAAACTTCAGTTGAAGTGGTTGGGACGTGTGTTACGTATGCCTAACCACCGACTGCCTCGACAAGCTATGTTTTTCGGTGTAAGAGTAGGTTGGAAGAAAGCTAGGGGCGGCCAGACCAAAACATGGCACACATCCATGAAGTCACTGACAAGTGGACTGAGTCATTTTGGTAGATCTAGACTACCTGGTTGGTGTCCGCGAGACGAAAGTCACCGATGGTTAGGGACCTTGAACCACTTGGCTTAAAATCGCTTGCAATGGCGCAAGTGCATCCATTCTTTGAGCTTTCACAAATCCTAATCTTCTGGATTCGTCAGAACCTCTACCTTTGTCTTTCTAACCTTATTTCACTGAATTATGCTTCTTGAATAATATCTTCGAACCCTAGTCGTCTTCATTACCATTAATAACTCTACTATCTCTATCACTATGGGATTTGATTTGACATTTGCGTGTGTGTTAATGTGGTGTGGCAACTTGAACTGATGTACTTACGTACGAAGTTCTACGTTGCAACTGACTGACTGACACCCCCCTCCTCTATCCTCACAATTTCATTTTTTTATTTGTATGGCGCATATTATTTTGGAACTCACTTGTGTGTGTGTCACTCAATCGGTTCGCAAAACCAAGCAAATCTATCTGTATTTCCTAAAATGAGTTAAGTTATTAAAATCAAAACAGAGAGTAAAAGACAAATACTTAGTGTTCCATAATTTTAAACTAAAAACAAGTTTACCCCGAGTCTGAAATTCTTGAAACTGCTTTAGATATACAACTTCAGTGGTTGTTAAAATCCTCTTCAACGATTTAGAAACGCATCGTTTGTTATTTTTTTATCTACTATGTACTCGAGACAGTTCATGTGGTCTTGCACTCAGTATTTGCTTCAAAGACCAGTCGTTCATAGAATGCAGTGTAGTACTACATCGTATAAGGTTAATAAAATTAAATATATGAAATAAATTTTTTTGTTGTTGCTAGAACTAAATACCATAGAGGAGAAATATCAAAAAACAGCTATTAAGGACAGATAAAACACAGTACGTAGGTAAAACAGTTCAGGTTGCCATACCACATTAGCACAGTGAAGCAACTGTCAGTTTAAATACAATACTCGAATCAACGGTAGAAGTATTAGCAGTAATAGAGATGATTAGGTAGCGATGATATGATTCGATAAGTATAATTCAGTGAGATAAATTTAGAAGGGGAAAGATGGAGATTATGAGGAATTCAGAAGGTTAGAATTTGAGAGAACACAATGAATAAATGCACCTGCGCCATTGCAAGCGATTTTGAGCCATGTCATTCAAGGTCATTAACCATCGAAGTCCGTCTCGTAGCCTACATCCAGCAACATGACTCAGTCCACTTGTCAGTGACTCCATGCATTTCTGCATGTTTTGGTTTGTCAGCCCCTAACATTCCGCCAACCTACTCCAACACCACAAAACAAAGCTCGTCGAGGCAGTCGGTGGTTAGGCATACGTAACACATGTCCCAACCACCTCAACTGATGAAGTTTCTATGCTTCATCTATTGACTACCCATCCCTACCTAGAACTCGCTGTCGTTAGGAAACATTGCTTATACGGTTGTAGCCGGATACACGACAAATACTTCGTAAAAAACTATGATCGAAGACAAGTAATCTACAAATGTCCTCTACTCTCACCAGTGATGTTTCGCATCCGTCAATATACTTCTTAAGTACACCCTTCGACGACAGACACTGACACAGAAACGATCCAGATAGTCTAATGTCGCTTTTAGGTCGAAAAATACTGCTGCTGTGGGATATCTGAACCTGTGCCTTCGTTCTCGGACTTGACATAGTGTGAAGATATGGTCTATACATCCACGTCCATGTCGGAAACCAGCCTGGTTTCTTCTAGTCTGCTCTTCACGAGCTTTCGTTAAGCGTCGGAGTATTATTGAGGCCAATATTTTAGACACTATATTAGTTAGGCTTATTTCTCTGTGATTGTCACAAGAAGATTTTTGTCTTTCCTTACAGACTGCAGCAATCATTGATTGAGACCAGTCGGATGGGATTACGCCTAGTTCCCAGATTCTACCTAAGATCTCAGTCAGTCTAACTGTTAAAACTGGTCCATCATCCTTAAAAGTCTCAGGGGTCAGTCTATCAGGACCCGCTGCTCTCCCTCGCTTTAGATTTCCCATCGTTTTGTCAACTTCAGAGAGATTCGGAGGGCTTATGTCGACATGCGATTCAGGGTGACTGGAGATTGTGGGTAAAGGGCAGTTGAACTGATCCCTGAAGTGTTCTGCCAAATCGATACAGTCTCCTGGATTGAGAATAAATAATATTCCCATCCTTTCCCGCGATAGTCTCACTTACAGTAGGATTCCTAATACCAGATTCTTTGATAGCTCGGGAAAGTTGGCTACCGCCGCTGCCTTGAACATCACTTTTGCTTTCGTCACCCACCACTGTCTGCGATCATTGCGTAGGTTTTCCATCGGTTGTGCCTAAGCTGACTTCGCTCTTCGTCATGCTCAGAGCCAGACGGGATAAATTTACGAGCGTCTATCAGTTCGGTAGCTGCTACTGAGATATTATTTACCTTACGGGAAATATCACCGCTGAATCCACAGCCTTTCGCCCGACCGAAGCTGCTACCTTGAAGTGGTAGTCGAGCTTGACTATCGTGATGGGTGGGTAGGAAGGATTTGATTGTGACCGAATTGGTCTCGCATGCTGTTACGGGTATGAGGGTGGTTGTCACTTCCCTGCTGCCCATACCCTGGAAGGTTGTTTCTTGAGGAACCTGAAAAGGAAGATAGATTAGCGTTGGTCTTAACGACCTGGTTGCGTGACCGCAGAGTCCAAGGGACAACTGCTTGAGGCCGGTCACGCAAGGCCTTTTCATGTGTAGTAGTATTTAAAGTGTTAGTTCCGTTCTTATATAAAAAGACTTACCGAGGGAGACAGGAATTCGTGAGGTAAGTTGAGGTGTGATATTTTTAGGGTCGACCTTTTCTAACCTCTCCTTCCTTGTGAGAAGGCAGCATCACTGCAAATGCTGGTTGTCTGAGGGAGACGCCCTACCACAGTCACACCCGTCTGCAGTCAGCAGTACGACTTCGCCCTCAGACCTTGAGTAACTGCTTTTAGTCTCATCGTCCTTCAATCGACCTGTCTTGCATTGTAGAACCTACAGGAACATATGTTCCAGCCAATATAGCTCGGTTTGGTCATCACCGAAGGCACGCGCCACCAGCTCGTCAGGGAAGCATCTATGTACGGGAAAATACGCGATTATTCAATAGTTGATTTATAGACCACTACATAAATTGATCTTTTTGATTCGTCTGTATTTTAATTTAATCTTCGTTTATAATTGCTTCAGGCGAAACCATTGAATGAAGTTTGTCGAACATCAGAGCAGCTTTTTTCTTTAAACTGGAAACGTAACAGTGAAGAAAATAATCCAACACACAAACGTCCGCCGTTCATATCTCCGTTTGATAGGTTAAAAAACATACAATTGAAAACATGTGAAGAAATAAAAGATGATGTTGCTGTTATGTTTGAGAAAAAGAATCATTATGACAAATTTAATCATCATTATCATGAAAAATGCAATGAGTTTAGCTGGAAACCAATAAGTGGTTTTGCCAGACCACTAGGTAATGACATCTATATTACATCAAATTATTATGGTACTAGTTACAAATCAAATAAAATATGTGAAGCTACAAAAAATGCTTTCAGTCAAATGAAAAGTGTATTCGGTAAGTGCCAAAATTGTAACGATTAGAAATATTGTTTTAGCTTCTGCGCTATCAAACAAACAGACAGATACAACTCAGAAATTCGTATGTAAATACATCAGTTCGGGTTGACAGGCCCGATCAGCAAAGAGACGCAACTGTCAGCTCAGATCGAAAAGTGATAGAAATAGCAGAAGTATTAGCAGTAATGGAGAAGATTAAGGAGCGATGATATGATTCGAGAAGTATAATTCAGTAAGATAAATTTAGAAGAAGAAAGATGAAGATTATGAGGAATTCAGAAGGGTAAAATAAACGAAAACACAAACAGTGAATGCACCTGCACCATTGAAAACAGTTTTGAGCCATGTGTCATTCAGGGTCTCTAACCATCGATTATTATCATCTCGCGGACACCAACCAGGTAGTCGGCAACTACCGACATGACTCAGTCCACTTGTCGATGAATTCATGGATTTGTGCCATGTTTTGGTCTGACCGACCATAACTTTCATCCAACCTATTCCTACATCGCAAAACATAGCTCGACGAGGTAGTCGGTGGTTAGGCATACGTAACACATGTCCCAACCATCTCAACTGATGAAATTTCATTACTTGATCTATTGACCTGCCATCCTTACCCAGGACCCGTTTCCTAATAACAGCATTGTTCACTCGAGTGTCCCAGGATATACGAGCAATGCTTCAGAGACACCTTTGATCGAAAACAAGTAACCTACGAATATCTTCTACTCCCACCGGCCATGCTTTGCATCCATATAATAGGACGGAGCGAACTGCTGCACATTACACTCGTCCTTCGGTTAGGAAACAGATATCTTGCTTACGCCATAGGTGACGCAAGTTCGCAAAAGCCGATCGAGACTTCTGTATTCGTGCTGAGAATTCGTCAGTCGCCAGGCCATCAGCACTGATGAGACTCCCTAGATAAGTGAGTCGGTCTACACGTTCGACTACTTCAGATGCCGACGCAAACCAATCATGAAGCAACATTTGGCATTTCGAGGGTGGGAACGGCATCCCGAACATGTTTGCGTTGTTGCTTATGGTAGTCAGAAGACTCTGCATTTTGTCAGCGACTTCACCGAATAGAACTATGTCATCAACAAATTCTAAGTCAAAAAGCGTGTCTCGTGGTAAAAGGTCTACTGCTGAAAATTGGGACGAGGATAAGGTTATATCTGGGAGCATGTCTATGATAAAATTAAACAAGAATGGAGAGAGTGTACAGCCCTGACGGGCACCACTTGATGTAGACACTTCTGATGATAGTTCTCCATAAGCCCTCACTCGACCAGAAGTGTTCGAGTAGAGAGCTTGTATAAGGTGAATGTACTTCTTTGGTACAGCTTTTGATGACAGAAACTGACACAAAAGCTCACAATCCACAGAGTCAAATGCCGCCTTTAGGTCCAGGAACACAACTATTGTAGGACGCCTAAATGTGTGTCTGTGTTCCAGGACTTGTCGTAGTGTGAAGATGTGGTCTATACATCCACGTCCCTGTCGGAAACCAGCCTGGTTTTTTCTCGTCTGCTCTTCACGAGCTTTCGTTAAGCGTCGGAGTATTATTGAGGCCAATATTTTAGACACTATATTAGTTAGGCTTATTTCTCTGTGATTGTCACAAGAAGATTTTTGTCTTTCCTTACAGACTGCAGCAATCATTGATTGAGACCAGTCGGATGGGATTACGCCTAGTTCCCAGATTCTACCTAAGATCTCAGTCAGTCTAACTGTTAAAACTGGTCCATCATCCTTAAAAGTCTCAGGGGTCAGTCTATCAGGACCCGCTGCTCTCCCTCGCTTTAGATTTCCCATCGTTTTGTCAACTTCAGAGAGATTCGGAGGGCTTATGTCGACATGCGATTCAGGGTGACTGGAGATTGTGGGTAAAGGGCAGTTGAACTGATCCCTGAAGTGTTCTGCCAAATCGATACAGTCTCCTGGATTGAGAATAAATAATATTCCCATCCTTTCCCGCGATAGTCTCACTTACAGTAGGATTCCTAATACCAGATTCTTTGATAGCTCGGGAAAGTTGGCTACCGCCGCTGCCTTGAACATCACTTTTGCTTTCGTCACCCACCACTGTCTGCGATCATTGCGTAGGTTTTCCATCGGTTGTGCCTAAGCTGACTTCGCTCTTCGTCATGCTCAGAGCCAGACGGGATAAATTTACGAGCGTCTATCAGTTCGGTAGCTGCTACTGAGATATTATTTACCTTACGGGAAATATCACCGCTGAATCCACAGCCTTTCGCCCGACCGAAGCTGCTACCTTGAAGTGGTGGTCGAGCTTGACTATCGTGATGACCCAACCGAGCTATATTGGCTGGAACGTATGATTCTTTAGGTTCTACCATGCTTTCAACACTCACCACTGTCTGCGATCATTCCGCAGGTTTTTCACAGTCTGTGCTTAACCTTATTTCGTTCTTTATCATGTTCAGAGACAGATGGAATGGGTTTTGGAGCATCCATCAGCTCAGTGGATCCTAGCCTTATAGAAAGCCTTACTAGAAGATTTCACTGCTGTTTCTACTGCCTTTCTGATATTATTACAACATGCATATGGACGGGAACCGCTCTCATGTTCGCCTAATTGTCTTTCTTGTTACTCCTGAAATATATTCTCCGCCTTATTATCATTAGGTTAAACCCTAAAAGACTTCCTTGCGGTGTCTTTCCTGCGTCCAGTAAGCCTCAAACAAATACGCGCTAGCACTGAGGCTTGATCTGAATCTAGAAATGTGATTCAGAACGAGTGACAGTCCTCTATCGAACCCCTCCTCCGGTGATCTAGTCCAACTTTGAGACAAATTTGGAGGTCGTCAGGTCAACAGATGCTTCTCCTTATGCCTAAAGTTAGTGTTTGCTAAGAATAGGCGGTTATCTGAGCATATTTGTAACAGACGGTCGCCATTTTCTGTTCTTTGAGCCACGACACCATAACATCCCCCTAGGTGTCTTTACTTTTCACTTAGTCTACCTACTTGAGCATTGAAGTCACCAGCCATTATAACTATATCAGAGCGCTTAACGTTTTGGAGGAGGTCCAAAAGCTTTTTGTAAAACTCATCTTTTATGTCGTCTGAAGTGCTGTCAGTGGGGCATAGGCAGATACGACGAAGAGGCAATGACGGGTTCCCCTATCTTTCCAAGTCCTTACTGTTCCGTTCAGTCGAACAGCGCACAAGCGACTATCTATAGGGATCCAGTTTACATTGATGGTGCGAGATTCTAATGTCCTAGCTAAGGAAGCCTGTTGCCCTTTTCGACATAATGTCCGTACATTAAAAGCTCCAACATGTAGTCTAGAACGTGGTTTCAGGAGACCAGGAATAATGTTTCGTGAACTCGCATCGTTTGCATTAGTTGTGCAGTGTGAGAAGAGTTAGTCGTGGAGATATAAGAAAGGCATTAGGGGGTGGGTAGGAAGGATTTGATTGTGACCGAATTGGTCTCGCATGCTGTTACGGGTATGAGGGTGGTTGTCACTTCCCTGCTGCCCGCACCATGGAAGGTTGTTTCTTGAGGAACCTGAAAAGGAAGATAGATTAGCGTTGGTCTTAACGACCTGGTTGCGTGACCGCAGAGTCCAAGGGACAACTGCTTGAGGCCGGTCACGCAAGGCCTTTTCATGTGTAGTAGTATTTAAAGTGTTAGTTCCGTTCTTATATAAAAAGACTTACCGAGGGAGACAGGAATTCGTGAGGTAAGTTGAGGTGTGATATTTTTAGGGTCGACCTTTTCTAACCTCTCCTTCCTTGTGAGAAGGCAGCATCACTGCAAATGCTGGTTGTCTGAGGGAGACGCCCTACCACAGTCACACCCGTCTGCAGTCAGCAGTACGACTTCGCCCTCAGACCTTGAGTAACTGCTTTTAGTCTCATCGTCCTTCAATCGACCTGTCTTGCATTGTAGAACCTACAGGAACATATGTTCCAGCCAATATAGCTCGGTTTGGTCATCACCGAAGGCACGCGTCACCACCACATCAAGGTAGCAGCTTCGCTTTGAAATAGCTAACTACTAGAAGTATTCTCATTATTTGTACCTTTTGGTTGTCGTATCTTGAAAATATATTGAAAAATAGCTAAAAAAAACTGACATTTATTTTTATATTTGTCACCTTTATTGTACACCGTTCTAACTTGCGGCAGTCACAAATGTAATTACGTAATAACTTTCTCAAAATAATTCTTCGCATCCACAAACCAAAGGTTAGTTTTTTGAGTACCTCAAGCAATGATATACAAATTTTAGGTTGAGCCAATATGTATTCCAAAATTAGGGTTCCTACTTCTGTCAGTTGTATTGTTTTCTAACTGTTTATGTGTAAGCTATTTTCTGTCAGTCGAAATATTTTTTTTAGTCATGGTTACTTTCTATTCATTGTTCCGTAGCTTTAAAGGAAATTAAACCTCAACAAATTGTACAATTCATTGTCATTTTAAGTCAACGTTTGTCTTCAGATGTATTCAGTGATTTCAATCAAGCCTATACTAAACAGCTAAGCAGATGGTTAAAAGAAGTGGAAACTGATAGTACAAACTTAAAACCTGAATATATTGGTTCGTATATGCCAACACGTGTTTGCGTTTGTGTGGATTCTGTAAGTTCCTTAATTTTCAAGTGTGAAACAATGTATTTTATGCTCTATCCTGCTTGTCTATTTTTATATTTTCAGCCACTAAGTTCTTACGTATCTTAACGCATTTCCTGACATTTATTTGATACTTTGCTGTACTGATTCGCGATAAGACTCAGCCAGTGATAACAGTAGTTATATGAATGTATTGCTGATAAATACATTTGTTTCTTCTTAGTACTTCATCGCTGAGTTTGAAATATCAAAAGACTACCCAGTCATAACTTTAACGAATTAAAATCAAGCAAAAATACAATTTCCTCTATTCAACCTCTAACTAACCTAGACTTGAAATTGAAAAAATGCTTAAATAGTTTACGATGATCGGTTCAAAAAAACAACTTTATAAGTTCAGTCGTCAACCAGATCACTCAGCAAAATAAATCGACATTTTTTTGATTGGATAATGTAGCTTTCCATCTCAACCAGTTTTTAAGATAAAAATGATACACATAAATCAGTAAACGCAAGTTTTTACTCAAAATTTTATCCGCTCATAATAAACTTGGTTTATCATATGTTTTTCGTCAGAAAGTAATAGTAGTCTGTCGTTGGGCATCGAATGAATGGCAATCAAAGTGTAAGATATACTCGTTCTAATTCATAGTACTAATGTTACTGTTGCTGTTTTTCGACACTCTTGTTTTACTCCAATTCCAAGTTGGCTCATGGATTATTCATGTATATGTTACTTATATTCATTTATTTATACACGTAATAATTAGTACAAAAGGACAACTAAATATTTATGCGTCACACAGGTCATTGAATTTGTGTTTAGGCTAGAATACTGCCTAGGTGCCCGGACTGAAGCAGGTTGTTATCTTGAGAGTCACTCCTCAAGCTTTTGTCCTAAAGGTATAATCTACAAGGTAGTGGAGCAACGTTAACGGAGTTTCAAGGTAGCCGGTGAGCCGAAGATTAATCATGGTGTAATATGTTATATTTTTAGGTAATTATAATTCAAACTCCATGTTTTAACGGTTTAAGAATCATTCATTTTTTCGATACTAGACCTTCATTTTGCTACTTTTGTCTAACTAATCTAATAATATCTCTAGGTGTTAGCAATGCGATTCCGAGTGATAGTTTGTCTGATAGATAAAGTGATGGCGTACAAAGTGCATTTTTAGATGAGAACATGATAAGTTTAATAATTGTATCATTAGATCGAATCTCTTGTGTTAAATCAATCAATAATCATATTCATTGTCATGATGTGATCGAGTAAATAATTGTGTACTAAATGAAAAAATTTGTTTGAAATTGATTTTTTTTCTGATCTCATATTGTTTTTGATAAGTTTCGGTTAAATTTTGAGGTAGTTAAATTCATCTGACTAGTTATATTTAAATTTATATATGAAATTGTGAATAAGTGCGTTTCACGAGGTAACCGGTTCAAGTTACGTATGCATCACCACCTATCCACATTTGGTTGGTAAGTTATTCAGATGAACTTATCTATATCTGGTTGTTAAATCGCAAAACTAGTATTGTTGTAAATTTTTCCCTAAATACAAGTTTATGTTGTCGCTCTTCGGATCATATTTTGATGTCTGGTGAAACTACGTGAAGTTAGGTGGTTCTCAGGGTTCTAACTTGCAACGTATTAAAATAGATGTATATATTTCTCTTATTTTAAATCTTTGATATTCTATATTGTTTCAACTTATTTTCTTATTATTTGACCAATTCCTTTCCTTTTATTTTGATAATGAAAATCTTTGCGCATATCATCTGTTGTTTACGATTGACTGAATCAGTTGATTTAACACTGCACATTTATGCTATGTTAGTTTCTCCTTTGATTTCCAGGTATGTCATAAAGAATATTTTCTTGTGAGATAATTGTCGCCTGTAATGATGTCATACTTTTTTCTTTATATATATAAATACACTTGTGTATTCTCTTGAAAAGTCTAGTTTCAAAACGTTTAGAATACCATTTACTAGGTATTATTTAGCGAACTCCGTAACAGGGCTTGAACAAGTGAACTAATACATTTTAGTGTAAACAATAAGATAAAAAGTGGACGATGAATGGATTTTCCTCTGTATATATTGACGACCTTATACTATTGTTTGAAATTTGAACAAAATTACCCTTTTGGTGTATCTTTGTGTCTATTGTATGCAGCTTTCATACGAGGTTACTCATTGTTCTGAAGAAGCATTTACGATTTGTCTATCTGCTATCATATATTATGGCGACATGAATATGTTTGAGTGGATTGATTCTCTACGTGGTCTATATGTCCAGTCTATTTCACACTGGGCTCCAGCTAATATTGGACCTTACAGTCAAGCAATAGCTGTTCCTGTCTCGAATATTCAGTTGGATGATGTATCTACTTGTGTTAAAGATTATATTACATTCTATTCTGGTCAAATTGGGTTAATTCCTGAATTAGAAGTTCTACCATCAGAAACTGGATATTTCGCTGATCACTCGGAAGCACTGAAAGTTGAATCCTGGCTTTCGTTAAGACATTGTCATCGAATAATGAAAGTAAGCTGTGTCTCAAATTTAATATTTACCATTCCTACTTACAAATTAGTCGTGAGCCCGAAATCCTTACACTTCATACCTTTTTTAATCACCTGCTCATGGACAAAATTCTTGACTAGAATAACATACTATTTCACTTATTTTGATATACTTCAAGCAGTACATCCTTACCGTAAACCTAAAAGTTGAAATGGCTTGTTAAATGACAGCACCTTCAATAGTTCAAGAAATCCATGTTAACAGAGACTGACCAAATCCAATACTGAATATCATCATTAGGGAAATGCAAAATTTCATGACTGTTACTTCATATATATGTCTAGGAAACGATGCAGTTAAATGACAGCGAAAGAGTTTACTCGGAATAATGCACTGATTGATCGATTAATAAAATGTTCTACAGCCTAGAATTCGGCATTGAACTAAATAAATGCTTACGAACAAAATATTCCAGTTTCATGACTTAGTGAACAAGCACTAACCGTATCGGTTATTTTTTGTGTATTTCATTTCTTCATGTCGTAAATGAAATACACAAACTCGAACTATGTTTGTGGCATATAGATCTGTAGACTACAGCCTGTAGATTCTTCGGAGGTACTGCCGGTCCAAAGCCCGGATAAAGGAAGAGGGTTGGGATTGTGGTTGGCGACCTCATCCCGCAAAAAATAAACTCGCTAAAAAACACCAACAAGAAAAAATAATTCAAACCATTTAAACTATGATCTGGGAGTTAGAAGATTTTCATTTAGAAGAGTCATGACGTCTCATGATAAAAGCCGAGTTCCTTCGGAAATCACGAGGCCCATGCCCCTTCTGACAACCAGAACCCTTCCACGGTGTAGGCAGCCGACAAGTAACATCCGCCCTCATACCTATAAAACCACACTAGACCAAATCGGTCACAATCCAATCGCTCCTACTCCTCCTAAAAACTCTCTTATCTCCTCGACCAACCTTTATTTCGATCGTTTGTCACCTTGCGATGCTGAAGTAAACGGTTTGAGCTCACGAAACATTATTGCTGGTCTCCTGAAACTCCGTAATAAATTGCATATTGAAGCTTTTAATGTTTGAATCTTGTGCCAAACAGGGCAACAGGCTTCATTAGCTAGAACTCTGGAATCCCATGCGATCGATGTATATTGCGTCTCCTAAACACGCACAAAAGATCCGAGTAAAAGCATGAGTTTGGTTTCACCTTGTGCAGACAGAGAATCAACACGGTTTGTGCTTCGTCATTCTGGAAGCCCTGATGCTGCTTCCCGTGGCCTCGCTGGTGTAGGTAAAGTATTAAGTCCTAGCTATCTTAGAATGGACCTCCGACTAAACATGACGGTACGAACTCGTAAATATGGGGAAACAGGCCGTTGCCCCTTCGTCACATCAGCCTACGCTCCCACTAACTGCAGTTCAGGCGAGGCGATAGGTGAGCTTTACAGAAACCTCTCTAAACCTCTTCAAAACGTTAGGCACTCTGGTATAGTATTAATGGCTGGTTATTTTAATGCTCAAGTACGTTAGCTAGGTGAAAGAGAAAGACACACGGGTGGATCTTATGGTATCGCGGCTGATTGAACTGACAATGTTGACCGTCTGCTGCAAGTATGTTCAGATAACCGCCTATTTCTAACTAACCTTAGCTTTTAGCATACGGTAAAACATCTTTTGACCTGGTGACCACCAAAGCTGGCTGACCCGACGATAGATCCAACTAGACCACATCGCTATAAGCCATAAGTGAAGAGGTTCTATTTGAAACTGCTGATCACTCTGGAGCACTTTGTTAGACTCAGACCATGCTCCAGTATGAGTGCGCATTTGTTTGCGTCTTACTGGATGTAGGAAAAATATCGCAAGTAAACCACTTACGGCTGTATTTTTTGATAATAAAGCTACGAATATATTTAAGACCGACTGTAAGTAAGACTATAAATGAAAAGGATGGGCAGAAAAATTTAGGGATCAGTTCAACTGGCCTTCAGCCACACTTCGGTTACTCATGATCTTTAGTCATCCTGAATGGCAAATCGACATAAGCCCTCCGACTCTCTATGAAATTGAAAAATCTTGAATAATCTCTTCGATCCCTGATATACTCCATTCACGCTTATTATTCTACTATCTCCACTATCACGAGATTTTAAATAACTTTTGGTTCTGTGCTAATTCTGTACGGTAACCTGATCTGATGTACGCACATACGACGGTCTTCGTTGTAACTGACTGATTTATATAGTCTTTTAAGTTCTGATCAAGTTCTACTAATCACAATAACTAAGTGTTTCACCATCGTTAGCACTATGTTGAGGTGTTGTTCGTTGCAGGAAGTCTAAAGCATAGTGCCAAACAATTCTAGATACGTAAGATTCTTCACTATGTTTACTTTTATACGATTTGTCATCTTCTGCCTCCAGCTTGAATAATAAATAATATCATTTCTTGCTTCTTTTCGATACGACTACACTATTTTAATAACTAATTTGTAATTATAATTGAAAACAATATGCTCGTCCAAATGTATTTGCACAACGAAGCTCGGTAAATTCTAAAGATCCAGTCTCTTACCATTTCACAATAGACCTATTTTACATTTCATTGCTGTGTTTACTTTGAAACTTTACACCAAAAATCACTTGTGGTGCACGTTGTCTAATCAAGATTTTCCTGTTTTCGATTTCGGTAACGATTTCAATCTGAGGTGATACTGCTACTCAGCCAAAAAAGTGATTAACATCTTTTGCGAAAGTAATGTATGTCCTCAATATCTTAGACCAACGGTTTAATTTTTTCTTCAAAATGTGAATCGGCTTTGATGCTGAATGGAATCATTCCTTAGGGGACCAAATATAGAAATATTTAACTGTAGAAAGGAAACATTATAAAACTATTCTTGACTTTCCTGACTTATGCTATTAGATAACTGTTTAGTTGACTCGTCAACATAGAGGTTATTATTCTTACTGTATTGTCTTAGTATAGCTTTGTTTCAAGTACTTGTGGGAATAAAGATACCGACAGTATATCTTTAGAAAGAACTTACAGAAACTTTTAAATTAGTGTTAGAGATACTTTTAAGTTGCAATTGTAATTGTAGGGTTTTAAAGCTGACACTATAAGTTTGTTAATCCGGCTTCATGCAACTGCGGTACTTATGACATTGGTACCTAATTTTTCTAATTTTTACTCAGTACATGACCCCGTCTAACACATGGCTAAATCTGTTTCTTGGGATTTGCTATGCAGTTGACGAAGCTTCAATAAATCAGGCTCGAAACTGTTTTCATCAAGCTGTTTGTTCACAAATACTGGATAATACCGACATTTTGGGTAAATGTCATTGTGACAAATGTATTGTATGGCTTCTGGTATCAAATCTGCCTAAAAACGCCACAGTTGAATGGCAATGGATAACTGGATTACAATCATCATTGTTAATTACGTCGTTGAATACGAAAATTGACAAGGCATCAGCGATTCCTCCAAATACTTTTATGCTGTTCTATCGATATGATGTTATTCGACTGAATATACAAGAACTATCCACTTTACTTGGTGATAATTATACAGGATTTATATTGCCTGTTATAAAATTTGCCAATCCTTCTGTAACTGCAGTATTTGTTTCTATAGTTTCTGAATAATGATTGCACAATGAAATAAATGATTGTCTGTTGTTCAATGGTTGTTATCTTTTTGATATTTAAAATGACTGATCGAAGTAAATAACTAAGGATTAAAGTAGTTACGAAACCGGACAATAAAATGAGTAGTAACTCGTGTTTCAAACGTAAATCTGTATGCTTAATCTCAAAATACACTTTCGTTATGATAGTAATACCATCCAGTTGTGCAAATCTATTGCATAGGGATGAGCATTTGAACGTCTTTGCTGTAAATTTCTACTAAAGAGATGTAATTTATACATGAAAGAAGTCTGCTTCAAAATTGCACCAAGTTCTAATCAACATAGTAGTACGATTCATGTTCTAACAGTACATCACCATACTCGTGCATTTGGGGTCGAAGTTCATCACAGAACTATACCTACCGACGATAAGGATTAAAGACAACTAGTGAACAATCCTGAAAGTGAAATATTTAGAGAATTTCCTCAGAATTCTATCATGACAAAGATACAAAAAACTACTATTAATTTCAATCAATCAATAGAACTTCGTACGTACGTACATCAGTTCATGTTGCCATACCACATTAGCACAGAGATGTAATTGTCAATTTAAATCCAATAGTACTAGTGGTAGTAAAGTTATTAGAAGTAATCGGAGAGGTTAGGATTAACAGATAATATTCAAAAATTATGATTCAGTGAGATAAGTTTAGAAAGACAAAACTAGAGGTGTTACAGAATCCAGAAGATTAGGATTTGAGAGAACTTAAGAATTAATGCACCTGCGCCATTGAAAACAGTTTTGAGCCATGTGTCATTCAGGGTCTCTAACCATCGATTATTATCATCTCGCGGACACCAACCAGGTAGTCGGCAACTACCGACATGACTCAGTCCACTTGTCGATGAATTCATGGATTTGTGCCATGTTTTGGTCTGACCGACCATAACTTTCATCCAACCTATTCCTACATCGCAAAACATAGCTCGACGAGGTAGTCGGTGGTTAGGCATACGTAACACATGTCCCAACCATCTCAACTGATGAAATTTCATTACTTGATCTATTGACCTGCCATCCTTACACAGGACCCGTTTCCTAATAACAGCATTGTTCACTCGAGTGTCCCAGGATATACGAGCAATGCTTCAGAGACACCTTTGATCGAAAACAAGTAACCTACGAATATCTTCTACTCCCACCGGCCATGCTTTGCATCCATATAATAGGACGGAGCGAACTGCTGCACATTACACTCGTCCTTCGGTTAGGAAACAGATATCTTGCTTACGCCATAGGTGACGCAAGTTCGCAAAAGCCGATCGAGACTTCTGTATTCGTGCTGAGAATTCGTCAGTCGCCAGGCCATCAGCACTGATGAGACTCCCCAGATAAGTGAGTCGGTCTACACGTTCGACTACTTCAGATGCCGACGCAAACCAATCATGAAGCAACATTTGGCATTTCGAGGGTGGGAACGGCATCCCGAACATGTTTGCGTTGTTGCTTATGGTAGTCAGAAGACTCTGCATTTTGTCAGCGACTTCACCGAATAGAACTATGTCATCAACAAATTCTAAGTCAAAAAGCGTGTCTCGTGGTAAAAGGTCTACTGCTGAAAATTTGGGACGAGGATAAGGTTATATCTGGGAGCATGTCTATGATAAAATTAACAAGAATGGAGAGAGTGTACAGCCCTGACGGGCACCACTTGATGTAGACACTTCCGATGATAGTTCTCCATAAGCCCTCACTCGACCAGAAGTGTTCGAGTAGAGAGCTTGTATAAGGTGAATGTACTTCTTTGGTACAGCTTTTGATGACAGACACTGACACGAAAGCTCACAATCCACAGAGTCAAATGCCGCCTTTAGGTCCAGGAACACAACTATTGTAGGACGCCTAAATGTGTCTGTGTTCCAGGACTTGTCGTAGTGTGAAGATGTGGTCTATACATCTACGTCCCTGTCGGAAACCAGCCTGGTTTTTTCTAGTCTGCTCTTCACGAGCTTTCGTTAAGCGTCGGAGTATTATTGAGGCCAATATTTTAGACACTATATTAGTTAGGCTTATTTCTCTGTGATTGTCACGAGAAGATTTTTGTCTTTCCTTACAGACTGGAGCAATCATTGATTGAGACCAGTCGGATGGGATTACGCCTAGTTCCCAGATTCTACCTAAGATCTCAGTCAGTCTAACTGTTAAAATTGGTCCATCATCCTTCAAAGTCTCAGTGGTAACCCTTCCTTCCTTGTGAGAAGGTAGCATCATTACAGATGCTGTTTGTCCGAGAGAAACACCATACTGTTGTCACACCGCTCTGCAGTTAGCAGTACGACTTCACCCTCAGACCTTGAGTAGCTGCTTTTAGTCTCATCGTCCCCCAATCGACCTGCCTGGCATTGTATAACCTTCAGGAACATATGCTCCAGTCAATATAGCTCGGTTTGGTCCTCACGATAGGGAAGCCAGACCACCATGTCAAGGTAGCAGCTAAGGTCGGGTGATTTTTCAGAAGCTGACATATTAGAAGATTGACTTGTTGACTCAAAATATACATATAGCATAGTTTTTTTTGGTGAAGACGCTGATAAATCGCAGTCTTTTGACCACCTTTATTACCGTTAATACTTCTACGGGATTTGATTTGTGTTAGGATATTCATCCAATATCCTAAGAGAATGATTTGCAAGTCTAATTTTATTGGCTAATTCCTATTGCGCGTCCTTACTCTCAATATCACATACTTCAATGTTGATTCCAATTTGACCTAAATGTATAAATATGCATTTTCCATAACGTTTTATGATCCGGATCCTTATTCTCCTCTGAACTCAGATTTTTCGGGTGCTTGTACAATACACTTTCTACTTCATATCAAGATTTCCTCTTCTACTTGATGGGGCTTTGGGACGCTCAGACCATCGACCTTTGCTCTCGTTTACCGACTAAGGTGAATTCGTAATAGTTCAAGCATATCAATTGACGTGGTGACGCGCATTCGTAACAAAGTGATTGTTCGATCGCTTTGTGACTATGTGATATTGCAACTCCGAATGATGTACGTATGTAGGGAATTCTCTGTTGTAGCTGGCTGACTGACTTTGAAGGATGACAGTCCAACAAAATCAGCTAGATTGACTTAGATATTTGCAAGGTTTATCTTGTCAGAATGATATCAACCAATATAACCAATGATAGTTAGGTTCAAAACAATCCGAGATAATGTAAAACTCGGAAATAAGCATATCAGCCAGAGGTTTAGTCATTTTATCTCTCGGACCACATATGCATTAAGAAATTCCTGACTGTAGTTGTATTTTTAGAACACTACATTGAATACTAGTAGCTAGACTGCTTTTAAAATGATCATTACTGAAGAATTTCTAACGCAACTCGTATATCACTATAAGAAACATCACAGCACAGTGTAGTCACCAATACAGACATATCTAATAAATTATAATAGGCTAAAATGAAGTTCATATATATTAAAAACATTTATGATAAGAAAAGCGATCACATGATTAGTAAAAGCGGTATTTGAAGAGATTCTAATAAATGTTCCTGTCAAAGTACAGATCTGACAATAAACACAAATAAATAAAAGGAAACGGAGATAAATATATAGTTCATATAAAATGATGATGACAGTAACCATGTACGCTATAAATTCAATCGAAAAATACCAACGAACAGATCGATAATAATAATAATAATAATATCACATCATCAAAATAAATTGTTTTGAGATTATATCATCCTCAAGCCTGTTGATAAATTACAAAACACCAAATTGACTGGTATGAAATGCTTGATATCTTGCTCGTAAAATTCTATCAACAATTTATTGAAGGATGCCAGGTTTTGGAGTAACCTTTTCAGAGTAATTCCTTCAAAGAATTGTCGATTTGTAATCAAAATAACCAATGAAGCGAGTGACCAAGACAACAACCAGAATAGTTAAAGAAATAGAAAAAGGTGACAATAACAAAATATTACTTGGTTGAACTGAAATTCAAAATCAAGCATGATGTTTGAATAAACAACAGAATAAAATAAATTATGTTAGAGTGCGAAGAAATAGATGTAATGTAGAATAAGCAACTACGATAAATGCTGCTTGTTAATAGATATCACAATTTATAGTGAGATAGCAATAATACTAGAGAGAGAATACATGGAATGTAATTCACTTTGATACGATAAAAATGGGGAAAAAAGCTATTATCGAGGAAGATAAATAACCACCACTTGATTCAACTAAGTACCAGAATAACCTGTTCCTGGATAACCACCACTGACCGGACCACTAACTACACCTTTTACAGCACCAACAGCAGCCTTTTCAATCAACTGATCCCGAAATCCTTGTTGCGCACCATATGCACCTTGAAACGTTGGAGCTTGTGATTCCCCTGCAGCGTATTGAGTACGATTTTCAGGACCGACGCCTTCCGGATTCGCCAGTCCGACTCGTCTAAAACGAAAATTTTGTGTATGCAGTTAGATGAGAGCAGAAAACTATCGAGTTACAAAGAATATTGGAAGTCACAGTTAAAAGAGGCGAATATTTTAAGGTAACATCTATTTATCTGTAGTGTTTTTTATGAATGTATACATTGGCAAAACAATTGGGAACTAAAAGAGTACATATTACAGATAAGGTGATTTTAGTTAGAACCAATGATTGTGAGTGATAATGTTGAGACCTCACAATCGGGCCAAGTTAAGATGAACATTTATAACACATACCCAAACTGTTGATTAATGTCTGATATAATGTATAAACTCGACCTATAGGCCCTCCGGTGCTACTGCCGGTCCAAAGCCCGGATAAAGGAAGAGGGTTGGGATTGTGGTTGGCGACCTCATCCCGCAAAAAATAAACTCGCTAAAAAACACCAACAAGAAAAAATAATTCAAACCATTTAAACTATGATCTGGGAGTTAGAAGATTTTCATTTAGAAGAGTCATGACGTCTCATGATAAAAGCCGAGTTCCTTCGGAAATCACGAGGCCCATGCCCCTTCTGACAACCAGAACCCTTCCACGGTGTAGGCAGCCGACAAGTAACATCCGCCCTCATACCTATAAAACCACACTAGACCAAATCGGTCACAATCCAATCGCTCCTACTCCTCCTAAAAACTCTCTTATCTCCTCGACCAACCTTTGTTTCGATCGTTTGTCACCTTGCGATGCTGAAGTAAACGGTTTGAGCTCACAAAACATTATTGCTGGTCTCCTGAAACTCCGTAATAAATTGCATATTGAAGCTTTTAATGTTTGAATCTTGTGCCAAACAGGGCAACAGGCTTCATTAGCTAGAACTCTGGAATCCCATGCGATCGATGTATATTGCGTCTCCTAAACACGCACAAAAGATCCGAGTAAAAGCATGAGTTTGGTTTCACCTTGTGCAGACAGAGAATCAACACGGTTTGTGCTTCGTCATTCTGGAAGCCCTGATGCTGCTTCCCGTGGCCTCGCTGGTGTAGGTAAAGTAATAAGTCCTAGCTATCTTAGAATGGACCTCCGACTAAACATGACGGTACGAACTCGTAAATATGGGGAAACAGGCCGTTGCCCCTTCGTCACATCGGCTTACGCTCCCACTAACTGCAGTTCAGGCGAGGCGATAGGTGAGCTTTACAGAAACCTCTCTAAACCTCTTCAAAGCGTTAGGCACTCTGGTATAGTATTAATGGCTGGTTATTTTAATGCTCAAGTAAGTAAACTCAATCAGTCAGTCAGTCAATTTAAATCTAATAGTACTTGGGGTTGTAAAGTTATTAGAAGTAATCGGAGAGGTTAGGATTAACAGATAATATTCAAAAATTATGATTCAGTGAGATAAGTTTAGAAAGACAAAACTAGAGGTGTTACAGAATCCAGAAGATTAGGATTTGAGAGAACTTAAGAATTAATGCACCTGCGCCATTGAAAACAGTTTTGAGCCATGTGTCATTCAGGGTCTCTAACCATCGATTATTATCATCTCGCGGACACCAACCAGGTAGTCGGCAACTACCGACATGACTCAGTCCACTTGTCGATGAATTCATGGATTTGTGCCATGTTTTGGTCTGACCGACCATAACTTTCATCCAACCTATTCCTACATCGCAAAACATAGCTCGACGAGGTAGTCGGTGGTTAGGCATACGTAACACATGTCCCAACCATCTCAACTGATGAAATTTCATTACTTGATCTATTGACCTGCCATCCTTACACAGGACCCGTTTCCTAATAACAGCATTGTTCACTCGAGTGTCCCAGGATATACGAGCAATGCTTCAGAGACACCTTTGATCGAAAACAAGTAACCTACGAATATCTTCTACTCCCACCGGCCATGCTTTGCATCCATATAATAGGACGGAGCGAACTGCTGCACATTACACTCGTCCTTCGGTTAGGAAACAGATATCTTGCTTACGCCATAGGTGACGCAAGTTCGCAAAAGCCGATCGAGACTTCTGTATTCGTGCTGAGAATTCGTCAGTCGCCAGGCCATCAGCACTGATGAGACTCCCTAGATAAGTGAGTCGGTCTACACGTTCGACTACTTCAGATGCCGACGCAAACCAATCATGAAGCAACATTTGGCATTTCGAGGGTGGGAACGGCATCCCGAACATGTTTGCGTTGTTGCTTATGGTAGTCAGAAGACTCTGCATTTTGTCAGCGACTTCACCGAATAGAACTATGTCATCAACAAATTCTAAGTCAAAAAGCGTGTCTCGTGGTAAAAGGTCTACTGCTGAAAATTTGGGACGAGGATAAGGTTATATCTGGGAGCATGTCTATGATAAAATTAAACAAGAATGGAGAGAGTGTACAGCCCTGACGGGCACCACTTGATGTAGACACTTCCGATGATAGTTCTCCATAAGCCCTCACTCGACCAGAAGTGTTCGAGTAGAGAGCTTGTATAAGGTGAATGTACTTCTTTGGTACAGCTTTTGATGACAGACACTGACACGAAAGCTCACAATCCACAGAGTCAAATGCCGCCTTTAGGTCCAGGAACACAACTATTGTAGGACGCCTAAATGTGTGTCTGTGTTCCAGGACTTGTCGTAGTGTGAAGATGTGGTCTATACATCTACGTCCCTGTCGGAAACCAGCCTGGTTTTTTCTAGTCTGCTCTTCACGAGCTTTCGTTAAGCGTCGGAGTATTATTGAGGCCAATATTTTAGACACTATATTAGTTAGGCTTATTTCTCTGTGATTGTCACGAGAAGATTTTTGTCTTTCCTTACAGACTGGAGCAATCATTGATTGAGACCAGTCGGATGGGATTACGCCTAGTTCCCAGATTCTACCTAAGATCTCAGTCAGTCTAACTGTTAAAACTGGTCCATGCCAGGCTGGTCGATTGGAGAACGATGAGACTAAAAGCAGCTACCCAAGGTCTGAGGGCGAAGTCGTACTGCTGACTGCAGAGGGGTGTGATAGAAGTAAGGTGTTTCCCTCGGACAACCAGCATCTGCAGCGATGCTGACTTCTCACAAGGAAGGAAGTGTTAGAAAAGGTCGGCCCTAAAAATGTCACACCTCCCCTAACTCACGGATTTCCGTCTCCCTGGGTAAGGATGCCCACTAAGGGCCTTTAATAACGGAGCTAATCCTCGAAATACCTTTCATAGAAAGGCTGTGCGTGACCGGCCTCAAGCACCTGTTCTTGGGCTCTGCGGTCACGCACCAACAGTAATCCATCTTCCCTTTCAGGTCCCTCAAGAAACAACCTTCCACGGTGTGGGCAGCCGGGAAGTGACAACCGCCCTCATACCCGTAACAGCACACGAGACCGAATTGGTCAAAATCAAATCCTTCCTACACCCCCTAATGTCTCTCTTATCTCTACGACTAACTCTACTCACACTCCCTTTTCTCACTGTACCGCTAATGCAGACGAAGCGAGATCACGAAACGTCGTTCCTGGTCTCTTGAAACCCCGTTCTAGACTACATATTGGAGCTTTTAATGTACGGACATTGTGTCAAATAGGGCAGCAGGCATCATTAGCTAGGACTTTAGAAACTCGTGCCATCGATGTATGCTGCGTCTCGGAAACGCGCATACAGGATCCTAGTAAAGTCATTAACCTGATTTCACCTTGTCAAAACGAAGAAGCATCTCGATTTACTCTTCCGGTAGCCCTGATGCTGCTTCCAGGGGTCTTGCTGGCGTGGGCATAGCGTTGAGTCATAGGGCAGAATTATCTCTCCTAGACTGGATCCCAGTAGATAGTCGTTTGTGCGCTGTCCGACTAAACGGGACAGTAAGGACTCGGAAGGATAGGGACACGCCGTTGCCTCTTCGTCATATCTGCCTATGCCCCCACTGAATGCACTTCAGACGAGGTTAAAGATGAAGTTCGGACCTCCTCCAAAAAGCTAGGCGCTCTGATATAGTAATAATGGCTGGTGACTTTAATGCTCAAGTAGGTAGACTAGGTGAAAAGGAAAAACATCTTGGTGGATGTTATGGTGTAGCGACTGAGAGAACAGACAATGGCGACCGTCTGTTGCAACTATGCTCAGATAACCGCCTATACTTAGCGAACACCAACTTTAGGCATAAGGAAAAGCATCTGCTGACCTGGCGACCTCCAAAGTCGTCTCAACGTTGGACTCAACTAGATCACTTCGTCATCAGCCACCGATGGAGGGGTTCAATAGAAGACTGTCGCTCGTTCTAGGGCACATGTTTGGATTCAGATCATGCTCTAGTGCGAGCTCGTATCTGTTTAAGGCTTACTGGACGTAGGAAAGACACCGTAAGGAAGCCTCTTAGGGTTTTACTTAATGATAATCAAACCAAGAAAATATTTCAGGAGCAACTAGAAAGAGAGTTAAGCAACTATGCAAGCGATTCCCATCCAGAAGCAGGTTGGTATGATATCAAAAAGGCTGTGGAAACAGCAGTGATATCTGCTAGGAAGGTAAACCACAATGCTAGGATGAAGCAGTGGATTTCAGTCTCATCCACCGAACTGATGGATGCTCGAAAACTCATCCCACCTGACTCTGAACATGATGAAGAGCGTAGTCAGCTTAGTCGCAGACTCATAAAAAGTCTACGTAACGACCGCGAACAGTGGTGGGTGGCGAAAGCAAAAGCGATGGAAAAGGCAGCGGCGATAGGCAACACTAGACAACTTTTCCGTCTTATCAAAGAAACTGGTATTAAGAACCCGAATGTGAGTGAGACTATCTCGGAAAAGGATGGGATTATTATCCATTCTCAATCCAGGAGACTGGATCGATGGGCAGAACACTTTAGGGATCAGTCCAACTGGCCACGAGCCACTCTTCGGTTACCCACGATCTCCAGTCATCCTGAATGGCAAATCGACCTAAGTCCCCCTAGTCTTAATGACGTTGAGAAAGCGTTAGGAAATCTGAAACGAGGAAGAGCTGCAGGTCCTGATAGACTGACCCCTGAGATATTTAAGGATGGTGGTCCAGTTTTAGCAGCTAGGTTGACTGAGATCTTAGGTAGAATCTGGGAACTGGACGTAATCCCATCCGACTGGTCTCAATCCTTGATTGTCCCAATCTATAAGAAAGGACAAAAGTCTTCTTGTGACAATCACAGGGGAATAAGTCTAACTAATATAGTACCTAAAATACTGGCCTCAATAATACTTCGACGCTTAACGAAAGCTCGTGAAGAGCAGACTCGAGAAAACCAGTCTGGTTTTCGACCTGGACGTGGCTGTATAGACCACGTCTTCACACTCAGACAGGTCCTGGAACATAGACACACATTTAGGCGTCCTACAATAGTTGTGTTCCTGGACCTAAAGGCGGCATTTGACTCTGTTGATCCTAAGGATCTGTGGCAGTGTCTGCCATTGAAAGGTGTACCAAAGAAGTACATTAACCTCATACAAGCTCTTTACTCGAACACCACTGGTCGAGTGAGGGCTTATGGCGAACTGTCACCGGAATTCTCTACATCAAGTGGTGTCCGTCAGGGATGTCCACTTTCTCCATTCTTGTTAAATTTTATCACAGACATGCTCCTAGACATAACATTATCCTCGTCCCAAATTTTCAGCAGTAGACCTTTTACCACGAGACACGCTTTTTGACTTAGAATATGCCGATGACATTGTCCTACTTGGTGAAGATGCTGACAAAATGCAGAGTCTTCTGACTACCCTAAGCAACAATGCAAGCATGTTCGGGATGCGGTTTTCCCCCTCGAAATGCAAAATGTTGCTTCAAGACTGGGTTGCATCGGCACCTGAACTAGTGATAGGGAGTGAAGTAGTCGAACGTGTAGACCGCTTCATTTATCTTGGGAGTCTCATCAGTGCCGATGGCCTGGTGACTGACGAAATTTCAGCACGGATACAGAAGGCTCGATTGACTTTTGCCAACCTGCGTCACTTATGGCGTAGGCGAGATATCCGTTTGCTGGCTAAAGGACGAGTGTACTAGGCAGTAGTTCGCTCCGTCTTACTTTATGGCTGTGAAACATGGCCAGTGAGAGTAGAAGATATTCGTAGGTTGCTGGTTTTCGATTACAGGTGTCTTCGAAGCATTGCTCGTATATCCTGGGACACCCGAGTAAGCAACGCTGTTATTAGGAATCGGGTGCTAGGTAAGAATGGCAGATCAATAGATGAAGTATTGAAACTTCACCAGTTGAGGTGGTTGGGACATGTGTTGCGTATGCCGAACCACCGACTACCTCGTCGAGCCTTGTTTTGTAGTGCAGGAATAGGTTGGAAGAAAGTTAGGGGCGGCCAAACCAAAATATGGCAGAAATCAATGAAGTCATTGACTAGTGGACTGAGCCATGTCGGTAATTGTCGACTACCTAGTTGGGGTCCGCGAGATGATAATAATCGATGGTTAGAGACCTTGAATGACATGGCTCAAAATCGTTCGCAATGGCGCCGGTGCATTTATTCTGTGTTCTCTCAAATGCTAATCTTCTGGATTCTGCAACCCCTCTAGTTTCGACTCTCTAAACTTTTCTCACTGAATCATACTTCTTGAATAGTATCTTCTAATCATAACCTCTCCGAATACTTCTAATTCCCTTACTACCTCTTCTCCTATTGGATTTGAATTGACGATTACTTCTCTGTGCTGATGTGGTATGGCAACATGAACTGATGTACTTATGTACAAAGTTCTACGTTGCATCTGACTGACTCATCCTTAAAAGTCTCAGGGGTCAGTCTATCAGGACCCGCTGCTCTCCCTCGCTTTAGATTTCCCATCGTTTCGTTAACTTCAGAGAGATTCGGAGGGCTTACGTCGACATGCGATTCAGGGTGACTGGAGATTGTGGGTAACCGAAGTGTGGCTAAAGGGCAGTTGAACTGATCACTGAAGTGTTCTGCTCATCCATCCAATCTCCTGTATTGAGAACGAATGATACAGCCATCCTTTTCCGAGATGGTCTCACTCACATTCGGATTGCTTTTAACGGTTTCCTTGATAAGGACTTATTGTCCACCTTACTAGCAGATATCACTGCTGTTTCCACAGCTTTTCTGATATCATTACAACCTGCCTCCGGATGGGAATCGCTTACATGGTCGCCTAAATGTCTTTATAGTTGCTCCTGAAATATATTCATGGCTCTGCTATCATTAGGTAGAACCCTAACAGGTTTCCTTGCGGCGTCCGGTAAGTCGCAAACAAATACTCACTCGCACTAGAGCATGATCTGAATCTAGAAATGTGCCCCGGAACGAGCGACAGTCCTCTATTGAACCCCTCCATCGGTGGCTGATGTCGATATGATCTAGTTGAGTCGTCTTTGGTGGTCGCCAGGTCAAAATATGTTTTACCGTATGCTTAAAGTTAGTGTTCTCTAGAAATATGCGGTTATCTGAGCATATTTGTAATAGACGGTCGCCATTGTCTGTTCTTTGAGCCACGACACCATAACATCCCCCTAGGTGTCTTTACTTTTCACTTAGTCTACCTACTTGAGCATTGAAGTCACCAGCCATTATAACTATATCAGAGCGCTTAACGTTTTGGAGGAGGTCCAAAAGCTTTTTGTAAAACTCATCTTTTATGTCGTCTGAAGTGCTGTCAGTGGGGCATAGGCAGATACGACGAAGAGGCAATGACGGGTTCCCCTATCTTTCCAAGTCCTTACTGTTCCGTTCAGTCGAACAGCGCACAAGCGACTATCTATAGGGATCCAGTTTACATTGATGGCGCGAGATTCTAATGTCCTAGCTAAGGAAGCCTGTTGCCCTTTTCGACATAATGTCCGTACATTAAAAGCTCCAACATGTAGTCTAGAACGTGGTTTCAGGAGACCAGGAATAATGTTTCGTGAACTCGCATCGTTTGCATTAGTTGTGCAGTGTGAGAAGAGTTAGTCGTGGAGATAAAAGAAAGGCATTAGGGGGTGGGTAGGAAGGATTTGATTGTGACCGAATTGGTCTCGCATGCTGTTACGGGTATGAGGGTGGTTGTCACTTCCCTGCTGCCCACACCATGGAAGGTTGTTTCTTGATGAACCTGAAAAGGAAGGTAGATTAGCGTTGGTCTTAACGACCCGGTTACGTGACCGCAGAGTCCAAGAGACAACTGCTTGAGGCCGGTCACGCAAGGCCTTTTCATGTGTAGTAGTATTTAAAGTGTTAGTTCCGTTCTTATATGAAAAGACTTACCGCCGGAGACAGGAATTCGTGAGGTAAGTTGAGGTGTGACATTTTTAGGGTCGACCTTTTCTAACCTCTCCTTCCTTGTGAGAAGGCAGCATCACTGCAGATGCTGGTTGTCCGAGGGAGACGCCCTACCACAGTCACACCCCTCTGCAGTCAGCAGTACGACTTCGCCCTCAGACCTTGAGTAACTGCTTTTAGTCTCATTGTCCTTCAATCGACCTGTCTGGCATGGTAGAACCTACAGGAACATATGTTCCAGCCAATCTAGCTCGGTCGGGTCCTCACGATAGGCAAGCCCGACCACCAAGGCGATCGGGTCAATGGAAACTGATGGTAAGAGACCTCGAATGACAGCTGCAAATTGCTTGTAATGGTGCAGGTGCATCCATTCGTTGGCTTCTCTCAAATCTTAACCTAATCGATTCCTTATCACCTTTATCTATTTGTTTTTAAGTTTCTGTCACTAGATTCTACTCCTTGAATAATATCGTCTGCTATTGAATTGACAATTACATTTCTGTGCTAATATGGTATTGCAACTTGAACTGATGTACGTACGTGCGAAGTTCTACGTTGTAAGTGACTAATTCCCATGATTTATAACTGTTGACTGGGAGAAACACGCTATAAATGCACTGATAAAAGACCGTAAATGCGTAAAACATTTTTCAAGCATTTCTCAGTATGAAAATAGGTTCTAGTTTGATGACCTATTTCTTTCATTCTACTAAACGCCAATTATATTTTTAAACACTGCTAAACAGCACAAAATAAAGTTCAGTATACCTGCGGACCATGTGGTCAACAATAGTTTGTGATTAACTCCAGTTTGGTTGTGCTACGTTAAGACAATGTTGATATAGCACGTTATTCCAAAATATGAACACGTGGAGCACAATGAATAAAATTCACAGGTAGATTATAACCATAATTATAAAAATTTCTGCCCACTACGTGAAGCATATTTTTCATCTGCCTAACTAAACTAAGAAACTAAAACTAACTAAACTACAAAACGTTAGATGTGACTCACGAACATTTTGATCTAGTAATGTCAGTCCTACTTATTATCTAAAGGCATTTACTATCATGCTTTCTAAACTGGAATATATTTAAGGTTAAAAATATTGATATTATGATTAAATTGACAACTTTTTTGATAGTGAAATTGTCAAATGCAGATAATAAATAAAAAATTGAACTAACCTTTCTTTAAAAATCCTCCAAACATTAAATGCACAACATCCAGCCAAAGCTAATCCACAAAAAAGTGTAGAAATCCCGAAACATAAACTCATTGGTAAAATGGCTGCACTACAATACAGAAAGTAATTAAAAGACTTTTACTTACATTCCATAGAAAATCGATTTTTCAATCGGAGAGCGTTTTTCAATGAATTCATTAAATTTATGTAACTGAGGTATCATAGAACAACATATTGGGGCTTCGAATATTATAACAACTATAGCGATTAGGCTTTAGAAAATAGAGAGAAAACAGAAAAAAACCATCATCACGAGAACAGAAGGTAAAACTAACCAAGTTATAATTGTACGGTTTTTAAAAACTACATAGTTACTAAAAGTAATGAACAGAGACATTTTTTTGCACACCTAGTTGTTAACTTCAAAATTTTGAAGTCGACTTCTTTATCCAAACATCTTGACAACTCGGCATCGATAATGCAAGCTAAATAGGCAATTTTACGTAGCTGATCCCTAAGAGCTATTATAATTTCCAGTTTTGTTTGTAAAAAACAGCAACGAAAATACCAAAATATTTACTACGAAAGTTAATTTAAGCTACGAACGTAACTGCTTGCTTTGCCCACTTAATAATAAGTCTTTTTGACGACTACAACCACCCCAAACTGCAGTAATAAAACCTACGAAGTTATACTACATAATTTGAATGACAAAGCAATGAAAGAAATACTCATGACAGTGATTAAAAATACAACTAACATTAACAAAAGTCCACCAATAATGCACTGCGCTGATACTGAGATCATGCAAAAAACTCCCATTGATAAGCATACTAAAAGTTATGTGTTGATAGTATTTAGAGACATACAAACAGCAGTGGCGATCCCAGCAGCTTTCAAACCATACTCAACAAGACGTGGTGAAACGGCCATTTGATACGACAGTTGGTTTTGGTACGTTGTATGCTAGAGATTACAACACAAATCAAACTTTGTGATTTAGTCTGGAGGAGAAACAAAAGAAACAGTTAGCTAAAGACAGTTTAAACATGAAAAACGATCGAAATAGACATACAAAATGACAGACAGTGTAAAAGTAATAGCCCCTTATACCCAACACCGCCTTTTTGCTCACGACCTCAAACTACTTAAATGACCGCGGTCATCATGATTACGAATTAATTGAGGTCCTATATCTCCAATATCTTTTGCACTACCAAGTATAAACTAATTGATTTACTTGCGTCCGATTCTTGTTCTTTTTCACGGTTCCAGGTATTTCTTAGTGTCCAATGGATGGTAGTCTAGCCACTTGACTAACTAATTCTAGGCAGTTGGCAGTTATTTATGAATTCCTATGTCCCATGTTTTGTGTGCGTTTGTTTGTTTGTGGGCATTAGGGCTTCTGGCAGCTATTATATTGCCGGGCCGGAGATCCTCTAGTTGCAATATGGAGAACAATATGGAGAAAATTCCAATCCGAATAAGATTTCAGAACTATGTAAATAAGTGGAAAATTAAGTTAATTCATTGGTAGTGAAGATCGTTCGAGTGGACCGAAGTGTAAGCAACGGAGAAGAAACAGAGATATTAAGCGATAATAGATTAAGTTGGTGATCTTAGGAGATTGCAATAATAATGATTGGCAAGTCTCATGGCATACATCAGGCACAGCTTTCCAAGAGGGAGATGATAATCCGTGAGTGAGTACGTGTTTATCGGGCCTCTTCTTAAAGCTGTCCACTAATCGAGTTTTGGCTCACCTCATTTGCGACAGCATTTTGAGTCGCAACAACTCTGAACTTTTGCATTTGCTACATTTTCGTTACTGCTAACTGAATGGTTTAGTAAGGTTGTTGGATTTGTGTGCTTAAACTGGCTTTATCGCTAGATTGATGCTGAGATGACCTAAATTAATTATCTGGGGGTATTAAAATTGTAAATCTTCGCTTGTATTTTTACGAGAGCTATTTCGTTTCTGATGCAAAAAGAGTTTTCTCAATAATGTACCGACTATTGGTTAAAGGGGAATAGGAAGTAGTGCATTGTATCAGAGTCATTCGATCCTAAATTTTCGTTCCTGTTTATATTTCACATATGAAACCAATAGAGGAGATTGAGTAGCGTTTTATGAATAGTTCAGTTGATAGTTAAACTTTGACTTGTTGCAAAATAATAATCTAATCGATGCAACGGGCTTCTTATAGGAGGTTTTCTTAGATAAGACCTAAAGAAAATTCATTTTGAATATTCTAGCCACCCGAAATCCACGCATTTAGATCTTGACAGTACTATTATCTAATGGCTCGTTAAGTAGAAACGTGTACAGAAATAGCCCCTCCGCTAGCCAGTGTACTCACTTTTGTCATTTTCGGTTAGGCGTCTCACAAGTAGAACAAAAATGATGAGTCCAGAGGATATATTAGGTCAGGAGCTGAAATTTATCAACAAATTACCGATCGAGATTGGCTACCTCAGTGCGCTATTAAAGAAGTACATGTATACTTTAAAAGATGCCGAAGGATTCAACTGATCAAAAGAAACCTCAATTCATTAAACTACATTTCAACGAGTATGTGGCTAGCGATGTACTTCATGATAGATAAGCGAAATTAATTAGTAGGATAAATGTTACGTTGACGTTCTCGAATCGACCAGTGCTGTCTACCCAAACGAAGAATCACTTACCTGAACATCCCTTACCACGGCTTGGAAAAGTTCACACAAAGACACTACGTAATTCTATCTTGGCACATCCGATTGACATCGGTCCTAATATGGATTCATCGGAAAAAATGAGAGTGATCCATTTTTCCTAACAGAGTCAGATCCCGTCCCTTACATATTGCAGAAGCCAGAGGGATTCAACACCAATTTATATGTTCGAAAGAAATTCGTGACAGTTCTGTCCCTTTTTTTGTTGGATATAACTTAATAAACCATTTTATTTTCATTTCATTTTATTATCTTTAACACTGTTTTCGCATCCTGTATTTGTTTGTAAATTTCAGAATCTTTCCATTGATATTCTTTACTGTATAGTTATTTACACGCTTCTTATTACGTTGTGGTTTTAATGTTTTGTGATGACTATCTGAAGTCTAATATCCACGATTGATATATTATTTCCAATGTTTAACTATTGGTAAAACTTTTGTTTAAATTCACTTGTGTTAATTGAAAGCTGATTCTAGTTGTTCCGGTAGTATAAGTTATCGAAGCCATGTTGAAAGTTTGAATTGCATAAGCATCGACCTCCTCTCGCTTTTCAAACTAAATAAAATTTAGCTAATGGCGGGTTTCGGTGATCTTAGATTGTAACCAGGTAATAGTGAACAGTGTAGTATATCGCTGTCGAAATTTTGTGGTCTTTCAGAATCAAATATTTGGTTTACTCGGGAAAGTCAATGATTGCAGACAGTAAATATGTTTGTACTTCATTATTTACACGATATGAAAGACGTGCTTTTATTCTCATGAAATAATTTGATGAACTTAGTTTATGTTTAATCATCTGGATTTTCCCAATACCCTTTATTATTGCACAAATTCACAAGTCTTTCATAAAATTCACCATTTCGTACGTACACGACCTCAAAGTGCTTTTATTTTAAGTGTAAAACAACAATTGGTGAGGTAAATGTATTGACTGGAATTATGCATTTTGATTGTGAATTGGAGCGCTCTTCCAGAGTAGGAAACACTCTGTGTCATAAAGCAACCAAATATTATCTGTCGAACGAATCTGATCTATCCAGGAGGGGTAGGATGACACATATAGGTGCTGTTAATTTGACTAATTGAACAATTGTTGTAGGAATAACCGTGATAATATGGTGTAGGTAATGACTGTATTCATATTTATGATGAATATTAGAACCGCTATTTACTTAAATCACTTGTTTCGGTTTTAAACTGGGCGAGGCTCGTATCTTAACTACCTGGAGAGTTATAACTCAGTCCAAACCTCAGTTTGAATCCTACAACGGTTCTCCAATTTGATTAGACTGAGATCGCGCTGTTAGTAAATATCAGGGAGAGAACTTCCTTTGAAGATTTGAGTTTCTTCTGTCGTGTGGCGCATAATGAACATGACAAGAAAGTTCGACTAATTAATTTTTAATCCATATTCTACTACCCATGCCTCGGTTATCAGAAGATCATTTGGAAGCTCAAACAAATCATTTTCTCTTCTTTATATCTGAAAATATTTTCAACATCCGTGTAGATTAATATCAGTGAGATGATTTTTATCTAACAATTCATTGATGAACATCAGTAATACTAGTGATCCCCAAACTGCTCCTCATTATAATATTATTATTTATTCTCAAATAATTACGTTTCAAGAGTCATGCCAGTTTACAGGCTAGATCCAATTATCACAAATGCTTTCACATTTACTGTAAAAGTTATAGCAGTTAAATTAAGTATAAGAGTCAGTATCTGATAGCATATTTACACCATGTCACTGACAGAACCATTCTAATACAGCTACATTTTCAATAGTAGAGTACAAATAAGGAAGGCGCTCAATAGGTTCTTCTGGCGATTTGCTGAGATCAATAGTGAATTTGTTGGGAAAGGTCAAATGGAACGCGCTTGATACAAGATGTGATCCAGACATGCATGTCCATAGGGTGCAGGTTCCCTAGAGGCGCCACGGACTTTCCACCGTGAATGGGGTTCTGAAAAGGGAGGAAAGAGCGAGAGAGAAAAAGGCAGCAGTATTGCAAGTATACATATATATGACCAAAGCACTACTTAACCTGTCATGTTGAAGTAGTCAATAAAGTGGTTAGTCAAGATAAAATTCATACTGACCACTTAAATTGAAGTAAATTATGAAAATATAAGAATATAACCCACAGATCAAAGAATACAGATAAGAAGGAAGAGTTATGGAATATCAAGTGGATAGAAGAGAAATCGATGTAAGAAGCTGGATTTATGTACGTTGAAATCGAAATTTCAGTTGAAAGAGTAGAGTTTGTAAAAATGAAAGACATTGATAATCAACAATTTTCACTGTCTAACTGTTTTTTTATTCAATACCAACCTACAAATCATACTGTGAGCGCCTGGGCAAGAATGTTGCGGGTGTCTCAACAGAATAGCGACCTCAGCATAGTTTTGGAGACATGAGACTCAGAAATAGCAAGCGTATAAGAGCAGCCTCAGTGTTACTGATTAGTCGTCTCATCAATCAAAAGAGCCGAAAGCAGATAAAATGTTCTGCCCCACAAACATGGGTGGTTTGAATCCATCGCCCACACCATCAATGTTTGTGAAACCAACAACTAATGTCAGACAACAGAATATTTTAGATGTGTTACACTCACGACGTAACTATTTTTCATTGATACACAAAGGGATGGTCTATTTACAACCTTCGTATTACAGTGTTCACTATGAATTCCACAGATATATTCAATTGATTCTATAGCGAGAGACTTCATTTGATAGGGCGCGTAGTTTGAGAGTTGCATCTTTTTTCACGTGTTTTGTCTTTCTCGATTTCTGATCGTTTTACTCTAGGTCAACAGTACATATAAAATAATCTTTCATAACCACACATCGGTTATTCTTATTTTAGTTATTTATACTGTAGTTTTTGGCTTAGTAAGTCTAAATAGACATTGTACATATAGTAACAAAATTCTTAATACACATAAATCCACAATTATGTCACGTTTATGTAAAAACACTTAATTTCGCCCGCCCAAATCTGCAACTAAATTCGATAAGATTAAACGTTGTAAGAACAGAGCTCCATCCGTGTTTTTTCTGATCTGCCTACTGGCTCAATAGAATTTTGCCGTGAACTTGAAAACGACTTCCCGCTCATTGATACAATTACAACAAACATTCATCTGCGTGACTCGACAACATCCACTACATTCTGTGTTTCATCCAAAACGGTAACATGCGTG